CCGGCCCAAAACCGGCCCCCCCAAAACCGGACCGTCCCGCGACCGCCGAACCGAACCGGCATAACCGACCCGGACTGGCAAAACCGGACCGACCAAAACCGGACCCCGCGCCGAAATCGAACCGCTGCAACCGAACCGGCCCGCCGCCAAACCGGCCCGAACCGGGCGCTTCCTGAGCAAGGGCGCGGCGGGATACCGACGACGATTCCGGGATCATGCTGCCTTTCTTTAACGGTCTCATCGACGCATACAGGCCAAATTAAATCGCCGTGATAATCGTGGGGAATGCAATGTGCAAGCCGGCCTGCGTCGGCAGGGCGAAGCTCGCGCCGCCGCGAAACTTTGCCAAATCCCAGAAGACCGCAGCGCGCTCAAACTCCATCTCGCGCGAACCATCGCCCATGACCGCCCGGGCCAACGCCGCTCTGAGCGCCGAGGGCTCAGCGATGGCCGCGCCCCAGAACGACGACGTAAACGAGGACCACTCATTCGAGGCCCCCGACCCCTTTGGACCAAACCTTCCAGGCCATCGGGGCCAGGCCAGGCCCGTCGCCTGGCGGCCACCTGCCTCCTTCGAGACTGCCGCGTCAAGCGCGGCGCTGGGCGACGTCGGCCAGGTGCCCAGCTGCTCGGGGCCACTCAAAGCGTTCGCGAAGGCTTGCCGCGCCAGGAAAGGTCGCCTCCGAGTGTCTGCCGGGGTCAGCGAATGCACTCCTGTCTCTTCCAATCGAAAGTATCCCAGGTGGCGCGGCGTCCAAATCCAGCATCGCCGCGGGCGACAGAGTCCCCGACAGGTCAGCGTCCGTGACAACGCGCACCACAGTCAGGATGTCCTAGGGCTTGTCCACGCCCGCCCCGAAACCGCGCCCTGCAACGTCGCCCGAGCATCCGCGGTCGCCGCGCCAGTCTGGTCATGGACCTCCCCATCTTGCGGCGGGGAAGGCTTGGCGCGTCGATGAGCGCGGCCAGGCTGCTTGGGCCACTTCTCCTGCACCCACTCTATACAAGCGGACCTGGGTTCCATCGCGGCCCTGGCAGCCGGGGAATCTGCCCGTCTGCGCGTGCGATCCACCAACTCCGTCAGCGACGCCACCTGCGCTGCGCCCACCATGGCGACCCCTTCCAGGCGCGCGCGCCCTCGGAGTTCCCCTTCTCGCCAAAGTGCCCCTCGTCCTTTGCGGGGCCCAACTGCTGGACCAGGGCCCGGGCCTTCAGCGCTCGCAGGGCTGCTTGCTCAGGAGCGCTGTCTCTGCGCCGCAGCGTCGCGTGCGTCGTTGTCAGGGAGCTCGTCGCGCCGCGCCGCTCGGCTCGCTCGTTCTTCGCGCGCGCTCGACCTGGCGTGGAGTGAAAATGCCGCCGACAGATGCCGGGCCTTTGAGCTCGACCTGAGCGGCGTCGCCACTTGTCTGGGCCCCGCCCCTTCGCGCGGCAAAGTGCGGGGGTGCGAGCTCTCGACGGCGTCGCGATGCTCCTCGGGGAGCTGCTGAAATCGCTGCTGACGGGGGGGGGGGGGGGGGGCCCTTCCTGCCTCGACCTCCTGCTCGGGGTCGGGAAGCGCCCGCGGCTTCTCGCGCGAGGCCGCAGGTTACGGGGGGCGAGGAGTTGCCGGTGCCAGCAAGAAACGCGAGCAGTTTTGATCTGGACGTCAACTCCACCATGAGTCCTCCGCAGCAAGTTCAGATCAGGGGCGAACTTCGACTCGGGAGCCCCGAGGCCCACCAGGCCCTAATCGCACACGCGTCCAACGCCTTTGTCACGTAGCGACGCGGTCGGAAGCGCGTGAAACGACCGTGGAAGACGCTTGCAATAACGCTCGAGAACATGTTCTGCAAGACGGTGCGACGATGGAAGCCCCGAGCTTCTGATGCCATCCGGTGGCTGAGAAGGGTGCTGGCACTACGTTCCAATCGGTCAGGGCCAGCCACGGGTCGGCCAGGGCCCGCGCGCGTGCACCCAGGGCCACAAGTACATCATTGTTCCAACCTCTCACGGCAAGCCCAGGTTGCAAGTGGGCCACAATCGGCGCGAGATTTCTGCCCTTCGTGCGCAGCGCAGGCGGGGCGAAACCTCGGCGTGGATTGAAGCGTCCTTCATCGAGAGTAGTTCAGCGAGCACTCTCAAAACTCGTCGATGCAATCTGTTTCCTGACCATTGTCCACCCGACCCCCGAGAGGCCACTCTCCGAGTTGCCAGGCGGCCGCGCGCGCGCAACGAGCGCCCGCCGCGTTTGTCCAGGCCGTCGCAGACGTCTGGCATGCCATTATTCCCCTTGTGCGTCTCCGCGAAGGCCACGGCGCAACGATCCTGCGCCTGGGCCAGGCATCGTGCACCCTGCGGCCCCCGCTCCGTGTTGCCGAAGAGGATGTCCAGCGAGGAAATCTCCGGACCCCGTGCACATGCCCCCGACGCTGCATCGCCCCAGCGCCACGAGCGCTGCCCGCGAGCGCTTGGACTGAGACGCCCCCGCAGCAGCGCCAACGTCAGCAGCCCCCGCAGCACCTGGGCCCGCGCCTTCTGCCAGCTGCGCCTGGCGAGCGGCCTTGGCCTCCATCCTCTCGCGCACCTCCTTGCGGTCGCCATTCGGAAATGCCTGGGGCCGCAGCGTGCGCGCTCGGGGCAGTAGCGCCTGAGCCCGCCGCGGCGGCGCCTGAGGCCTGCGAGGCGGGTGTGCCGTCGCCGCCCACGGCTGGGCCACCTTCGTCACGGCGGCGGCGCTTGGTGGCGGCCTCCTCGTGATCCGACCTCGCCTGCTCCAGCACGGATGGCAATTCCTTGTGCATCTCATTCGCCTGCTTCGTGACCTCTTCCAACTGTTTCTGGCAGGTCTCCAGCTTCTGCCTGTCGGTGGGCTCGAGCTCGTCCAAGGACTCGATCAGCCCGCGATCAACCTTGAAACAAGACTCATCTTTGTCATTGTCGCACGTGCCGGCTGCCTTCTGCGCCAGGCACCGCTGGCACTCGGCCTCCACCATCTCGTCACTGGCCTTGGCGAAAACCTCGCACGCCCGCTCCAGCTGCATCTTGGCCCTCTCGACCGAGCGTGCCGCGCTGTGCAAGGCCTCCTGCTTGCGCGAGCACTCCGTGCTGGCCTCTTTGAGTGCCGTGTACGCAGGCTTCGGAGGCGGAGCGGTGTGTTTCGAGGCCGCCAGCGACTTGAACTGCAGGGCCAAGGCCGCCAACGTCTTGAACTGCAGGGCCAAGCGCGTCGCCTCAGGGTCCAGCTCCAGGGTCGCAGAGACCAAGGCATTGACCATGATGCTGTCGAGCGCGGGCGGAGGAGAAACCTTGCCGTAGTCGCCGCTTCCTGCGCCATTGTCCTTCGAGCCGAGCCTGGGCCAACTGACGGAGTCGACGGTCTAAGGTCGATACCGCGTGCCATTCTCCGACGTGGTTCAGCCAAGCTGCACCGTGCCACAAACCGCGCACGCGCCCTGCTGTTTTTTGAACCTCCTGTTCCACGCCCAATTGCCGCAGCAAGCGCAATGAGTGAAGGCACTCTTACCGACCATTCACTCCGACAGGAGCTCACAAAGTGTTTGTTCGAGCAAGAGCTCACAAAAGGACTGAACGCTGGTTCGGGAAACAGAGCTATCCCGTACTGAATAGAAGCGCGGAGCCCCCCAATGCATGTCACCTTGAACCAACATGGCTGCGGAGGAGGAGGAGGAGGAAAGGGAGGAGGATTTTTAACAAGGCGATGACTGACACAGCTTGTGCTTGTCAATAAACTGCCTCTGGCGGTGGCTGAGCAGAACGGGAGGAGGAGGAGGAGGAGGAGGAGGAGGAGGAGGAGCAGGAGGAGGAGGAGGAGGAGGTGGAGGAGGAGGAGGAGGAGGAGGAGGACGAGGAGGAAGGGGAAGAAGAGGAGGAAGATGGAGGATGAAAAGGAGGAACAGGGATGATTAGGAGGCAAGGGTGGAGCAGAAGGGGGAGGAAAGGGTAACAAGCTGGCTGTCTGGTGTTGCTCCCGATGGGCCGACACGCGGATGCTTCGGGCGCACCCTCCTTGCCAACTAGGCCGTGCAGGGCCAGGCAACGGCTCTGATGCGAAAGCTCGGGGGCCAACCCGCCAGCAGTGGAGGGGAGGAAAGGGAAAGCCAAGGCCAACGAATGCACTTACGGCAGGTCCGTGTCGTGCCGAGTTCGGCGTTGGTCTCTGAAGCTGCGGGGATCTTGCCATCTTGAACCATCGACCGTTTTCGAAACGCCCGAACGGTCGATGTCGGCCGAGTCTGGGCCGCCGCCGGCGCTCAACGTTGAACGCCGGCGGCGGTAGACACGACGCGAACCTACCGTAAAGTCATCGTGCCACCCTGAGGAACGCTGAATACGGTGGGAGGGGGAGTTCGTCGAGGAATGCGCCCAGGAGGCTTGAAACCCTGGATGGCTGCTCTCCGATGGGGGTGGCGGTGATATCCATGACCAAACTCCAATTCACCCAAATAGTTAGTGTCCCACCCGGATGCCAACCCCTGGATTCCTTATCCGATGGCTCCTTCGCCAATGCCCTGGCGCCGTGAGGAGCGAAGGGGTTCTCCCGGCCACGGCGAGCCCAGCCTGGCGCTGCGGAGCGGTTCGGGAGCCGGAGCCCAGAAGGGTCTAGATTTCGGCGTCTGCACTGCATCGAGGAGGAGACAGCTACATACACATCAACTTTCGGAGATCTGCGCCCTGGATCTGCGCTGAAGCCCCTCCCTGGCCCCCGACGAGACCTCAACGAACCGGCGACCATCGCAAACCATGCCCCGACGTAACAACACCCGTTGTAGTCGCCGAAGGAAGTGTGCAGATGCTGGGGAGTGCGCAACTGCTTACAGCCTGATGCCACCAAAAACCAGGAGACATACACGGCCGGATTCACATGTGGAGCCAGGAACTAGAAACACACACGGCCAAATTCACATGTATCCCCAAGCCGCCCGCTGCCAACCCTCGCCCAGGCCGGCCGCGCCATGTCTGGAGCTTCCTGGTCCAATAAGCGTGGTCTTTGTGGAATTTGCGCGCGTCTGACCCCGCAGGCACACCACATCTTTTCGTCGGGCAACTCGATCTGCAAAATCAGAACAACTCCCCACTCGTGCTTGTCGAATGAAGCATTGCGACACCTTGCTAGGAAAACGCTCCGGTGCAAATTCTACACAGAAGAAGCTCTTATACGTCTCGCCGCAGAAAGGCGCGCAGCAAAAAGGCCCCGAGCTGTCATCACTCGCAAGCATGGCGATGGCGAAGACTAACTTTAAGTCGTAAGCGCCATCCCCTGCTGCAATGAACGCATCAACGAATTCCGAAGCCACAATTATAGAGAGACTTTGGGCTGAGGTTGGGAAGATAAGTGCTTCGGGTTAACGAACATGGAGACCACTATTCATAGGATTATACAAGTCGTCTCCTGCGCAAGATACGATATTTCTAAAACCGTGCGCACTGCATATGTGCTTTGTAGAGCCAAGGGACACGGACACGTTGATGCTTAGACTGGCAGTCTCCGTGCGAAATTTTCGCGCGGGCCTATGCGCCGACAAATGCAATCCGTCCGTCGGTCAGCCTGGAGGTGAGACACCAACTGCCCTTGTGGCGAATCAATGTCCCATTCGAACAAGAGCAACCCTAATGGAAAATGCTCTGGCCCATCTCACACCGAACAATCAACTCTTATATTACCTCCCGCCGCCAGGCAAACAAACCGCGCAATGCCCCGTAGACTCAGCCTTCGCCCAAATAGCCATAACGTAAAACGAAGCGCAACTTACAGATCAGGCTGAACTGAGCATATTCTCTCACCGACACACTGATGGCGTAGCTCCAGGGGCACTTCGAAGTGGTCGTGACCAGAAGAGGGGGCGGAGGAGTAGGGAGGGGGAGGAGGATGAGGCGCAAAGATGGGGAGGAAGAACGAGAGGGGAGGGGAGAGACGAGGGAGGACCGGCAACACTCCCCGAACGCCGCCCTCAGGGCGGCGTTAGATGAATGCTGCCAGGCCATTTTCATCGTGTGCGAGAAACGTGTGCGTATCCACGGCTTTGCGCTTTGCGGTGCGGACTCCTCGGCCACGACCTCATGGACCCAGGGCAACTTTGCGCGGATGCCTGGCACGGCACGCGCCCACGTGATCGCACGTACATGCGATCGCGCCCAGGTCTCCAGACCGCGAGGGCATGTATATGTTTTGTTCTTTGTTGGCGGCTTGGTAGCTGAAAAAGAACGGTATACCATTATCTCGCTTCGGGCGATCCCACCATGGAGTTTCAACGTACAACTGTCCAAATGCCTGTCCCTGAGATCCACGATGTATATCGATACATCTGTATACATACATATCTATATACACATATATATATATATCGATATGATATTCGTGACGCCCGTTTGTGATGTGTCATCTTGATGTCTGCTCTTGGTGTCTGCTCTTTACTACTGCTCCTGGTCTGGGACATTGATGTCTCCTTCCGGTATGTTGCTGATGTGTTTGCTGGACGTGTGGGATTGTTGTATGTGGTAGTGAAGGGCCCCAACGCTGCTAGGTCCCCAGAGGTTCCCGTTCCGTGCTCGAACGGGGATCGAAGACAAGGGATGCATCTGCAGCGGTTTAGGCTCAAGCGGGGCGGCTAGCTTAGCGATCCCCTTTGGGCGGCCATGGTCGCGCCATGGCATAAAGTTGGGTCTCTGTCGGATGGGACTCTTCTCTAGCATATTGAAGGCACTCGTCTCATAGAAGCCCTGACGTACGATTACGATGGCAAGCCTCAAGGATCGTACCTGCTAGAAGTTTTGACCGCGGATTGCTCGCCCAGAGGCGGGGTGAGCATCAAGGGTGAGTTGATCGTGGCTTCCGTCGACTGTGACGCGCAATGGATGCTCGGTGGCGGGTGGCCCACAAAGGGATGCTACCACCTGTGTCCCGACCATGCCGCGGAGTGCTGGAAGCACCAAGGCCGCAACGAATTCACATAGAGGTATGGAGGCCGGTCGCAATTGATTACACTTAGAAGGACAAGATAATGTGGATTGCCAAAAAAGTTCAAAACCAAGGTTTGGGAACCCTCGGAGACGGCAAGAAACAGCCGGATGAGGACGAGGAGGAGGAAGAGCAGCGTGGCCCAGGAGGAGGGCGAGTCAACCGCGACGAGGACGAGAAGAGGAAGCCGAAAGAGGACGACGGGTCCCACCGCCTCCAGCACCACCGCCTCGCGGGGCCCCTCGGAAAGGGGAGCGGCGGGGTTCTGGGGCCCCTGACGGCGCCATGTGGGATGGCGCTCGTGATGGCCCCCCCGGTGCCGGCCGAGGCGACGGCACGAGGCAGAAGCTGCCGGCTCGAAGCTGGCGAGGGGCGAGGGGGCCGACCGGCACCGGAGGACGGGGAACCAGACCGTGCTCCGCCTGAGCCGAGAGGGCCAAAAAGAGAGCAGGAGAAGACGTTCCCCAGAACGGCAGAAGGGACCGCGACGGCAGGCTCGGGGACCGGGACCGCGAGGGAAGGCCCAAACACGAACGCGGTGAGGCCCAGGACAGCCCAGAGAAGGGACGGCGTCGCGAGGACCGCCCAGCGCGCGGGGCCTCGCCCGACTCGCCCAACCGGAGGAGGAAAAGGTACATGCGAGTCTCGAGCTGCAGCGACTCAGAGGAGATGGGTTTTCACGTAGCCTCGGCTTCAGGGAGCCGGTCCACTGTGACCCAGGAGCGGCTCTTGCGCTTCGCGTGACACAACCCGGGCCGCCTCGCCAAGCGTTTCCTTCGAACGATGGCGAAGCAGGTGTCGCCTGGAGACGAGGCGAACAATAACAACGAAGAGAGCAAGGACCAGCCACCTCCGCCGCCGGTCAGCGCCTTCTTCCTGTGGGTTCTCTCGACGAAATAGATTTCGTCGAAAAGGATCAAGTCCGAACTGGCCCTTCTGTGCAAGATCCTCGATCTGCTCGTCAAGGGTAAGGTCAACCGCGCGATGGTTTTTGCCTGCCAGCACCTGAGGTCCCTGAAACAAGCGACCCTGGACGGGAACTAGGGGAACGCTCAATTCCTGGAGCTCTTCTTGGCCGAAGCCCCTGCTCTGGTCAATACGACCGAGAAGTATCTCATGCACAACGAGGCGCACCAACAGCAAAGCTCGGCCGCGCCCAGGCAGGGGCCAGCCGAGCGGCCACAAGGGAGGCAAGGCGGAGGAACAGCAAACGTCGTGGTCGGCAGACAACGGCTCCGAGCAAAAGGGCCTCTCGTGGGCCCGTTCTTGCTGCCAAGAGCATACGCCAATCACATACACCAGTCAAAGACGCTCAAGGTACAACCATCAGTCAGACTCGCCGGAAGCAAACATCAAAATCAAACGTCCAGAACAATTCGCCGGCCCAATGGGCCAGAGGCGTGCCAAGATCTCAGGTAAATGATTAAACATATTTCTAGTTTGCGCGCGCGGAGCTGCCCCTGGGGGCACCCAGACGAAAAGCATCCCGACTAGGTCCCGGTCCACTCCCGGCCCTCCTGGGCGATCCCACCAGAACGCCCCAGGGGAGGGCCATTTTTCGACACCCCTCACCAGGATCGTGGCGTCCGAGGGGGGAGCCGCAATCGACTACCTCCCCCTCCCGCCCCACGAGGCCCCCAAGAGCCCCAAAGAGGCCCGAGGGGCCCCCAAGACGCCGCCAAGGATCCCCAAGAGGCCCCCAAGAGGCCCCAAAGAGCGCTCTAGGGCCGGCGGAATGAGAGAAGCGATTAAATAATACATTCCACAAGCTGGACGACGTCCCGCCGTCGCCTCGCTCTCCCCTTGGTGTACATAGATTTCCACATATATAGACATATATGGACATACACACACACATATATATATATGTATATATATACATATCTATATGTATATATATATGTATACAAGTGGCACGTGTGTTTGCCCAGGCTCATACACAAAAAACTGAAAGGGCGTTTGAAGCAGGAAGACACCATGACTGCAGGATCGGAGATGGAGAAGGGGAAGCTGGGGCGGCGTCGACAGGGCGTGCCTAAGAGAAGGGGAAGAGGCAGGAGGTGAACGCAGAAGAATCTAAGATCGAGGTCGCACTCGAGCGCAAAGGGGGTTGCCACACCTTGCGATGTGTGTACCAGGGCCCCAGGAAACCGCAGGAGGCCCGACTTGGATACTGGAAGAGGCTCCAGGAGGCCCCGGGATTGTGAGTGTTGTGTGTGTGTGTTGTGTGTGTGTGTGTGTGTGATGTGTGCTCTGTGTTGTGCGTGTTTTCTGTGCGTTGTAGGGTTGTAGGTGTTGTGTGTGTGTCGCACGTACTCAAAGGGGGTCCTCAGAGGTCACCAGCGAGCCCTAACGAGCCCTACGGAGCCTCTCGAGTTCTTGTGAGCTCGACGAGTGCGCATGCAGCACGCCGCAATTCGTACAAGTAGCCTTCCCAAGCTTCCTCAGAGGGATTGGGCGGCGGGCACACAACTCTGGCAGAGTTATAAATATGATATGCAGCGACCACAGCCTCAATAGTGGATGGGCTGGGTGAACCACCAAGGCCTAGACGACAGACTGCACAACTCGGAATCTCGGCCTGAGGTGGGTAGGCGATCGACCATAGAACATTACAATCCAAATAGTGCGAAAAAGTGTCAGGTGCAGCTACCAGAGGCGGTTCCCTGCACCGAAAGCGACACTCGCCGATGCCCGTCTGTACGTGAAGGCGGCCCGAAGTGAGCCATGCGCCCGAGACTGTCTTAAGAATCGCACTCTGCCACGACGGAGCCAGTGATTTGTGTCTCTGTGTGTGCATGTAGTTCTGAGGCCCCAGGAGGCCCCAGGAGGCCACAGGCGGCCTCAGGAGGCCCCAGAAGACCCCAGGAGGTTCCAGGAGGCCCCAAGAGGCTCCAGGAGGCCGCAGGAGGCCCCAGGATGTTCCAGGAGACCCCCAGGAGGCTCCGAGGCGGGGTCTGGGGTACCAGAAGGTACAGAAAGCCCCAGGACAGCCCCAGGAGGCCCCAGGAGGTTCCAGGAGGCTCCCAAGAGGCTCCGAGGCGGGGTCTGGGGTACTAGAGGGTACGTCGGGGCTCGATTTTGGGAGGATGTCTCAGGCGCGAAATCACGATTCTCTGAGAATCGGGGTCAAAATCATTGAAATTACAATGTGTTTTTGAAGGCTTTATGTTAGAATGTTGAAATTCCCATGTGTTTTTGGACCCTGACGTCACGATCTGCGTGAGGGGTGCCACCGATTTTCATAATTTCGAGGATGTCCCGAGCGAAACGGCCAGAAGAATCGCGGACGCGTACGCATTAATCGCCTCTGAGCTCTACTCCCTCGGAGAGGTGCGTATGAGAATATATATATATATACATACGTATCAACGCACGCGTATGTGCATGCTCTTGTTTGTTATGCCGCCATTCCCGGGAATCTCTGGGGCCCGGCGCCCGCCGTATGCAGGGCGGGCGAGGCGGGATACTCAGGGACCACCTGGACTATTGGGGCTTGGCGGCCGCGGGATGCAAGGTGGGCGAAAAAGGAACCCAAAGGACTACCCGGACTATTGGGGCCCGGCGGCCGCCTTATGGGCGGGCGAGGCGGGATACTCAAGGACCGCCCGGACTGATGCGGCCTGACGTCCGCCGTATGCACATGGCCGAGGCGGGACACTGAGGGACCACCCGGACTACTGGGGCCCAGCGGCCGCGGTAGCGGGCGAAGTGGATCGTGGACAATTTTTGTATGTTAGCCAGCGCGGACCCCAAAAGGTGCGTGTTTAGCCATCCCTGATGTGCAATCTATTTGGAGCCGTTTGTGTGATGAAATCGACGTGGTACAATCGATGTTATGGAACCAACGTCGTGCAATGTATGTTGTGCAACATGTGTTGTGTCGTATCTGTAGAACTCTCTGGGTGATACAATGCATGTGGTGCAAGCTATGTGGTGCAATACGCCCTTCTGGACTTGAAGTTGTCAACTCCACCGCTCGGGAAATAATCTCACACGCCCACCCGCAAGTTGGTTTTCAAAACCCACGCGGCGGCGATGGCCGTGACTGCTCAGCACTGGCTGGCGCATCGCTGCGGCCGCGCTAGCGCGCGCAGGCTCGCGCGCACAGCGCCCAACTAGTTTGTCGCGCCCGGCGCGGCTGCGGTGGCGCTGACCGCTGGGCACTTTCCTGCTTGTCTCGCAGGTCGCGCAGTCGCGCGGGCGCTTCAGTGCGAGTCGGTGACTCGGGCGGGCGCGGCACCATGGCGACGTCGACGAAAGCAGACACGATGACGATAGTAACGATGCTTGTGGCGACGATGACGACGACGACGGCAATGCCACTGACGGCGACGATGATGGTGTCCACGTGTCGGTGGTGAACGTTTCGGATGGATCTCGACATGCGCACGCGGCCCACGGGCGCGAGCGGCTCGCCTGATTTTTATGTGACACGGATCGTGTCCCCCCCTCCACGTTCCCCAACACGCACGTAAGGGCGTTCGAATGATTTCGACATGCGCGCGCGAGAGGCCCGTTTGGTGGCATGTTATGAACGTTTTAACAAAACATTATGTTTTCAAATTCAACGAGCGCGTGCAATGTGTGTCAAAAGATCGTGCTGCGAAACCCTGTTATTTACAAATCATGTATATATAGGAAACAAGGTTTCGGGGCACTCGCTTCTGAACCCCTTAAGACACCGACGGTTTTGTTGTAAAGGTTTCGGCAAACAAAGGTTTTGAAAACTGACGGTTTTGATCAGCGAGTGTGCGCGCATGGTGTTGTTTGGCCTGGGAGGGCGGGGGTGGGGGTGTCGAGCCCGGCCTGCCTGGAATGGTATGTGTACATTCATAGAAAAACCGATGGGCAGAATCGCACGTAAACTGTACATCCCTAGTGTGTGTGTGTGTGTGTGTGTGTGTGTGTGTGGTGGGTGGGTGGGTGGTGGGTGGGTGGGTGGGGGGTGGGTGGGGGGGAGATAATCCCGGCTTCGGGGGGGTGGTAGATTTGGATTTCGTTTTTCACCGAAAGACAAGCATATGTGCTGCAACCGGCTCGCTGCAATTTGTGCAGTTGATTTTCACAGACGGGTGGACAAATTCCAGGCTCTTGCAAACATCCCACCCACACACCCGCAATTTGGTCTGCAAAACCCATGCGATGGCGATTGCGATGAGTACTCCGAGCTGGCTGGTGCATCTCTGCGGCCGCGCTAGCCCGCGCATGCTCGCGCGCACAGCGCCCAACCAGTTTGGCGCGACCGGCGCGGCCGCGGTGGCGCTGACCGCTGGGCGCTTCCCAGCGGGCACTTCAGCGTGAGTCGGTGATTTGGGCGGGCGCGGTATCATGGCAAAGCCGACAAAAGTAGATACGATTCTGAAAGTAACGATGATGGTGGCGATGGTGGCGATGACGACGGCAAGGCCAATGACGGCGCCGATTTTGATCACGCCCGCCAATAATGATGACGATGTCCATTGCGTCGGCGATGAAGGTTTTTGTTGGAAAAATCAACATGCGCGCGCAGCCGACGCGCGCGAGTGGCCCGCATGGTATTCTTTGGCACGGACCGTGCCCCCCCCCAACACGGTCACAAGGGCGCTCGAATGACGTAGTTTCGGCATGCGCGCGCGGGGATGCGCGCGTGCATGTCGGTCCATTTGTTGCAGGGGGTCCCTGCGCCAGCACGTTCGCAAGGGCGTTCGAACGACTTCGGCTCGCGCGCGCGAGATGCCCGATTTGTAGCACTTGATGGAAATGTTGAAGAAACTATGGTTCCCCCAAGAATTCGCAAAAGCGCGGGCGCAACTTTTGTTTGAAAGTCCTTGTTGCGAAACTGTGAGTGTTGTATCTGTGCTTGTGACTCTCGATTTGGACATCCTTACGACACCTTCGGTTTTTTGTTTAAGGAATTCGGGATGCGCGCGCGACGACGCGCGCATATGCACGTCCTTTTGTTGGTTGGTATTTGGGTTGCTGTTCTTGGTGGTATAGATACACACACATATATATAGTTATAGTTATATATATATATATGTATATATTAATGTACACATGTATACATAACGCGCATCCGGTTTTCCATGGGATGACGGGGGGAAGCGATACCGGCCTGCCTGGGATGGTACGAGTTCAATAATGGACAGTGGGGCAGAGCATGGATATTACGAACAAAATAGCCCGTTAACCCTCGGGGTGGGGTGGTGGTGGTGGTGGATCCCAATTTTGCGTTTAAGTGAAAAATGGGAGAACCTATGAGGCGCAATCTTTTTTGCCGAACTTGAAATTGTCAACTCCCCTGCTCGCGCAATCATCCCTCCCGCCCCCCCACCCGCAACTTGGCTTGCAAAACCCATGCGGCGGCGACTGCGAGAACTGTTTGTCGCTGACTGGAACATCGCTGCGCCGCGCTGGTGCGCGCGGGCTCGCATGCAGCGCGGCCAGTTACTCTGGCGCGACCGACGCGGTCGCGATGGCGCTAACCGCTGGGCAATTCCCAGCGTGTCTCGCAGGCCGCGCTGACGCGCGGGCGCTTCAGTGCGAGTTAGTGACCTGGACGGGCGTGGTGCCATGGCGACGCCGACAACGGAAGACACGGTGATGATAGTAGCGATGCTGGTGGCGATGACGACGACGGCAAGGCTAAGGACGGCGCCGATGCTGATCACGCCGATGACAATGATGGTGTCCACGCGTCGGTGGTGAAGGGTTTGGTGGGATTTCGACATGCTCGCGCGGCCGATGGGCGCGAGTGGCCCTCATGGCCTTATTTGACGGGGATAATGTGATAGTGCCTCCCCAACACGCGCGAAAACGCGTTCGAATGATTTCGACAAGCGCGCGCAAGAGGCCCGTTTGGTCGAATTTGATGAACCAGATGGGACAACAATTTGTTTAATAAAAAACAGCAAAAAAAACGCCACATTGCGCGCATGTTTTGAGTTTATTGTTGCAAACTCGATTATGGTTGCCGTACGAAGCCTACGATTTGAAGGACGTCGTCATGCGCGCGCGATGACGCGCGCGTGCGCACGTTGTCCCATTTGTCGCAAGAGATTCCTGCAGATTGATGACTTCCGACAAGCGCGCATGATAATATTTGGACAATAGACTTGGTTGGGATGGTGCGAGTTCATGCTTTGAAACAACAATGGGCCAGGATCGTGTGTAACACACGCATCCTCAGAGGGGCGGATGAGTCTGGGGGGAGGGTGGTCGATCCGAATTCTATTTTTGATAGGAGGGTCCATGCAACGCACTCCATGTGGTGCAACCTGTGTGGTGCAATCTAAGCGGCGACAGGGCGGCGACAAGGCGGCGACAGGGCGGCACCGGCAACAGCATAGCCGCCAGATAGCCACACTGGTCCAGACGACGGGCGGCGACAAAGCGGTGACGGGGCGGAAACGGCAACAACATATCCGCGGGACTGGCCCAGACGACGGTCGGCGACGAGTCGGCGACGGCGGCAACAAAGGCGCCAGACCGCCACACCAGCCCAGTTCCTTAGAGAAAGAAAGGGAACCCCTAAGTGCAGGCACTGTTTGGGGAATCGTGCACAACCTGACAGCCCCAACCTGTCGGATGGGGAATCCACGTCTTCGGCTTCGTGGGCGCCTTTTGCGATGGCGCTGGGAAGTTCATGTCAGAACTTTCGCCGTCCGCAGAACTTCAGCGCATCGCAGACCGCGTCACCACTTGAGGTCGAGCTTCCCGGGCGCCAGGGCGGCGGCGAGCGCCTCGGCACCTGCCGAGGTGCAAAAATAGGGGGGACCAGCTCAGGGGGGAAATCAGCGATGCATCGCCGATAGATCGACGGTGCGCCCCCGAGTTAGCGAGTCCGCCCGATCCCGGGCGGGGGGCGATCAATGGGCGATTCGGGGTCGATGCGTTCTCCATGAGCCTGAGCCCAGCCCCCCCCTTATCGTTGCCCCTGACCTGCGTCGCCGATCGCATTGGAGGCGAGGGCCAGCGTCAGCAGCGCCGGGGCCGCGGGAAGCGCGGCGGCGATCGCCTGCGCCCCTGCGTCGCAGATCGCGTTCGAGCGGAGGCGGAGCCTCTCCAGCGCTGGGGCGGCGGGGAGCGCGGCGGCGAGCGCCTCTCGGGGGCGTCCAAGAGGGAGGCGTCCAGGAGGGGGGTTGGCAAATCATGGCCCGAGGCACGTGCGCGGCCCAGGGGGGCCCAGGGGACGTATATACTGAAACAAGAGGAGAGGGGCCATGAAACCTGGACAGATGCCGTGGCACCCTAGCCATGAACCCCCCTTTCTGGCCGCCCCTGGGCCTCGGCGCCCGCGTCGCCGATCGCGTTGGAGGTGAGGTCGAGTATCCTCAGCGCCGGGACGGCGGGGAGCGCGGCGGCGACCGCCTCTCGGCGGCGCGCACGGGGAGGGAGGGGGCCGGCCCTCCGAGAGGGCGGGGGGCCTCTGACAAGGCGGGGGGCTTCTTAGGTCCTGGCCCGCTACGATGGCCCGTGGGAGCGAGGATCTGCGGTTGGGAATGTTTGGATCCCGTGTCGCGGCGACAGCCTCGGCGGCACGCTGTGCCTTGCGAGTGGGCAGCGTGTCGATTCGCCCCGCGGGGGGTGAGGCCGGGAAGGGCTCGAGACGTTGACGCCTGGGGACCGGGAAGTGGGTAGCGTGTCGCACCGAAGCGTGATCGGCCAGTAGCGTGTCGCACCGAAGCGTGATCGGCCAGAATCGACCGTACGCCCCCCTCCTTCTTCTCAGACGCCCCCCCGCACATTTTCGAAGGTCCCCCCCTCGCTCCACCTCCCTTGTTAGAGGCCTCCCACATGGGGTCGGAGTAGTGGGGTCGGAGGATCGCGCCGCATTGTCGACGTCGGCGATGCATCGGCGCCGTCGACGTGGAGAACCTCGGGCTCCACATCGAGCCCGCATCGGCGATGCATCGGCGATGCGGCGCGATCGTTCGACCCCGTCTAACTCCGCGAAGTGTTTTTTTTTGCGCGGGCTTATTGACGGATTGGGATCCCAACAAGAATGGGAAAATGAATCTTCCCCCGCGGCGGCCACCGCTCAGGCCTCCGCCATTGTCGTCGTCATCTGCTGCCACACCGTCAGTACAGCGTCCCCTTGGCCTATTCTGTAGGAGTGGACGAGGAAGGGAAGGACGCGTTTTATTGACAGTCGAAAGCTAAGGGGGGGGCCCCAGCAACGCCAACGACTTACCGCGGCTACTCGGAAACCATTTTAGAGGCCTGGACTGTGTGCGCGCCGCCAGGGGCCTCGGCCCCCACGTCGCCGACCGCGTTGGAGGCGAGGTCGAGCACCCTCAGCGCTGGTGCGGCGGGGAGCGCGGCGGCGACCGCCTCGGCCCCCGCGCCGCCGATAGCGTTGTCAGAGAGCCGGAGCCACGTCAGCGCTGGGGCGGCGGGGAGCGCGGAGGCAAGCAATTCGGCCTCGGGCTACACGCAGGAGGGATCCTGGGCAAGAGTGACATCTGGTGCGAAGCTACGGGGGGCCGCTGAGGGGCCAAATCAAAGCGCGCAAGCTGGTGTTGGGTGAACCCCTGTGGGCCCGCGCTGAAAAGGTCACTCCTGCGAAGGGCCACCCTTTCGCGTAGCCGAGGCCTCCGCGTCGCCGACCGCTTTGTGCCTCAAGGAGAGCAGCCTCAGCGCCGGGAGCGGTGGCCCCGCCGCCCGGGGCGCGGCCGCCAGGGGCGCGAGCAGCGCGCGGAGGCCCCTGCCCCAGAGCCCCTGTGTCGGAGGAGGGCCGGCCGAGACAACCGCGGCCCTCCGTGGCGTTTTGTTCGCCTTCTCGGGGCATTCCCGTCGCCACGGCTGGATCCGCCTGCAGAAGCGAGTCGGAATCTTGAGCGGGCTTGGGCCAGGCGGGGAGTCAGCTGGTGTATCCACTGGCCCTCCTCCGGCTGAACGCAATCCAGGTCAAGCTTCTCTAGGCTCCGGCAGAAAAGCAAGCAACCCCCGAGGCGGGCTATGTCGGCGGGCTCTGGGCGCGGCATCCCTGCGAAATCCTACCAGCCCACTGGGCATAGGTGGGTTAGCAAGCTCGTTCTCCCAACCCCTTCCCTTCTGAGGTGGGGGGTCTACCACTGCTCCTTCTTAATGTATACCCCCTCCCCGACCTGACCAGCGACTAACCAGGGCCAGCGACGACAACCCCACCGCCATCCCGATCAAAAGAACGATTCGAAGTACACTTTGTGACATAATCTTGGACCATGCGCGGGCCCCCAACGATCAGGTTGTATTATTTTGGACATGCATGGCGGGTGTGCTGGCGCATTGTCTGGTGTGTGGGGGCCCACCAACCCTGTCAATATAACACATACCAGAGACACACACATACACACAACTATACAACTAAATTCACACGCGCGCACGCACACACAAACACACACACACATACACACACACACGCACACACACACACGCACACTCAAACACTCCATCCTACACACAGCTACACACCCCCACGCACATACACACCACACACACACACCTGCACACGCACCTACACACAACACGCACAACATGCAAGCACGCACGCACGCACGCACGCACAAGCACGCACACACACAAACACACACACACACACACAAACGCACGCACGCACGCACGCACGCACGCACGCACGCACGCACGCACGCACGCACGCACGCACGCACGCACGCACGCACGCACGCACGCACGCACGCACGCACGCACGCACGACCCACCACCCACCACCCACCCACCCACCCACACACACACACACACAAACACACAAACACGCACACGCACCCACACGCACCCACACGCACCCACACGCACCCACACGCACCCACACGCACACACGCACACACACGCACACACACGCACACACACGCACACACACGCACACACACGCACACACACGCACACACACAGACAGACAGACAGACAGACAGACAGACAGACAGACAGACAGACAGACAGACAGACAGACAGACAGACAGACAGACAGACACAAAGACACACAGACACACAGACACACAGACACACAGACACACAGACACACAGACACACAGACACACAGACACACAGACACACAGACACACAGACACACAGACACACAGACACACAGACACACAGACACACAGACACACAGACACACAGACACACAGACCCACAGACACACAGACACACAGACACACAGACACACAGACACACAGACACACAGACACACAGACACACAGACACACAGACACACAGACACACAGACACACAGACACACAGACACACAG